GAGCGATTATGATGAATTTAAGAGACAATTCATCGGCGCATTTTCGTCATCGGCACAGAAACTGAAGATTTCATCGAAATTAATCAATCGACGACAAGGGAACAGCGAACCAGTACAGTCATACTATTATGATATACTGTCACTGTGTACAAGATTCAATCAGGACATGCAAGATGAAGAAAAAATGGTATATCTACTACGTGGATTGAAGCCGTCCATACAGCAGCACGTAATAATTAATAATCCAAAACAATGGGAAGATCTGCTGGAACAAGCAAAACGGGTAGAAGCAGCATCCGCAATCATGCAACTACAACCACCAATCGCGACCACAACAACAACAGATTCCATCGAAGAAACGACGGCAGCTCTCCGTCGAAGGATAATTAAGTCCGACGATCGTCAAAATGACTATGCTAGCCGCAATAATCAACGCTATTCCAATAGTGACCGTCGATGGCCACAACAATATTCCAACAATAATTATTCGCGTCAACGAAATCAAGACAACAGCAGACGATTCTTCTGCCATAATTGTAACGGAATAGGTCATTATGCATATCAATGTCCGAGTCATTTAAACTAATACGGGTTCCGCATGATGGTAGCGTCACCCAACGTTGTCAAAACCCATCAAAACTAGTATACATTCAGGCCTTAGTCAACGGTACCAGAACAAGAACGATGATAGACACCGGATCGACAATATCAGCCATCAATGCATCATACGTCAAGAAGATCAGTATCAACGAAAACATTCATCCAACTACCACATCGTGCAGAACAGCCAATAACGGTCAATTGAATACATCCGGCATGGTGATATTACCGATCACAATAGGCACCATACAAGTACAAGTAAACACGTTCATCATCGAAGATTTGTGTACCGATTTATTGCTGGGTGGCGACTTCTGCGATAAATACAACGTCAATATCAGTTATGGTGACAAACATCTGACACTTAAAACGAGACAACAGAGGACAAGTGTCAAATTCCACCAATACATGAACGAACAACAAGTATTTCATGTCAAAACCAAGAATGACATCATCATCCCACCGCTATCATCGAAGGTTATCGAAGCAACAACGTCATCATCACCAATGTCAGCCATATTCACTCCATCTTCAGGAGCGATGAACAAACAACACGTTGTCGCCCCATATGCCATTTTGACAATCGACAACAACAAAAATACAACATTGACATTACTGAATACAACAACCTCGACAAAAATGATTGCGAAAGGTACAAATGTCGGCCATATTAAGTATCATGAAGAGAACAGATGTTGCTATGTTCGTCCAGACCCGACAAGTAAGCATCAACCTCATATTTCAACCATTAACTCATATTCAGTGCAACAAAAATCGACATCGCACTCATCGATCACCAGCACAATTAGCGATCTTGTATGAGTGTTTCGTGTTCTTTTTTGATGTTGTGTGGTCGCGCTACATAGAAAGGTTTGAAAGCGTGTGAGCAAGAGAATAATTAATAACATGTGAAACAAAACCGACTAGTTTGTATAGGATTAGCAACTATTGCTTTCGATGAGCTGCCAGAATAAAGAGTGAAAGCACAGTAGAGAACTACCATATTTATATCGTCAAAATTAATCATAATAAATGAGTAGCTTTTAAAATTCACAGCATAAGTCCTGTTCAGTTTCTGATCAGTGAAAGAAATAAGCAGAAAAGGACGGGAGCGATTACTTGATGCAACCGGCCCCTGCTTGAATTCCATCAACACATACATGGTTAGATGCAGAATGAACCGGAGAACATTTCTAGCCACTTGACAGACCCTAGAAATGCTCTTAGAAAAAACTAGGCCGAATTTACTGAAACCAAAGTTCTGCTCTTCTTTCTTCAACGGTGAGGATTCCGTGCTCCACACTTGTCTACTAGCCACGACGATACATATACCATTCGATAGAGAATTTCTTGCGCTACAATTTCGTATATACAAAGTAGTGAAAAAGGTGTCCTAGGGCACCTTGACATTAGAAGTACTTTATGCAAAGCCGTGAAAAGTGGCTGATTTATTCAACGGTGACCATCCTGTGCTCCACACTTGTCCATTAGCCACGACGATACATATACCATTCGATAGAGAATTTCACGCGCTACAATTTCGTATATACAAATTAGTGAAACAGGTGTCCTAGGGCACCTTGACAATAGAAATACTTTATGCAAAGACGGAGCAAGTGGTGCTTTATTCAACGGTGATCATCCTGTGCTCCACACTTCTCCATTAGCCACGACGATACATATACCATTCGATAGAGAATTTCATCGCAGACTAGCGTGAAGGTTTAGATTAGAATTGGTATGTGGCTCGACATATAGCTGTTATTTTATCTAAGTATATTAGTCG